GTGGTCTGAGAGATTGTTTGTTATAATTTCTGTTCTTTTACATTTGCTGAGGAGTGATTTACTTCCAATTATGTGGTCAATTTTAGAGTAGGTGTGATGTGGTGCTGAGAAGAATGTATATTCTGTGGATTTGGGGTGGAGAGTTCTGTAAATGTCTATCAGGTTTGCTTGTTTCAGGTCTGAGTTCAGGTCCTGGATATCCTTGTTAATTTTCTGTCTGGTTGCTCTGTCTAATATTGACAGTGGAGTGTTAACGTCCCCCATTATTATTGTGTGGAAGTCTAAGTCTCTTTGTAAGTCATTAAGAACTTGCCTTATGTATCTGGGTGCTCCTGTATTGGGTCTGTATATATTTAGGTTCATTAGCTCTTCTTGTTGTGTCGATCCTTTTACCATTATGTATGTCCTCCTTTGTCTCTTTTGATCTTTGTTGCTTTAAAGTCTATTTTATCAGAGACAAGTATTGTAACTCCTGCTTTTTTTTGCTCTCCATTTGCTTGGTAAATCTTCCCCATCCCTTTATTTTGAGCCTTTGTGTATTCTTGCATGTGAGATGGGTTTCCTGGATACAGCACACTGATGGGTTTTGGCTTTTTATCCAATTTGCCAGCCTGTGTCTTTTGATTGGTGCATTTAGCCCATTTACATTTAGGGTTAATATTGTTATGTGTGAATTTGATACTGCCATTTTGATGCTAGCTGGCTGTTTTGCCCATTAGTTGATGCAGATTCTTCATTTTGTTGATGCTGTTTACCATTTGCTATGTTTTTGGAGTGGCTGGCACTGGTTATTCCTTTCTATGTGTAGTGCCTCTTTCAGGAGCTCTTGTAAAGCAGGCCTGATGGTGACAAAAATCTCTGAGTACTTGCTTGTTTGCAAAGGATTTTACTTTTCCTTCACTTATGAAGCTTAGTTTGGCTGGATATGAAATTCTGGGTTGAAAGTTCTTTTCTTTAAGGATGTTGAATATTGGCCCCCACTCTCTTCTGGCTTGTAGCATTTCTGCTGAGAGATCTGCTGTGAGTCTGATGGGCTTTTCTTTGTGGGTAACCCGAACTTTCTCTCTGCCTGCCCTTAGCATTTTCTCCTTCATTTCAACCCTGATGAATCTGATAATTATGTGCCTTGGGGTTGCTCTTCTTGAGGAATATCTTTGTGGTGTTCTCTGTATTTCCTGGACTTGAATATTGGCCTGCCTTGCTAGGTTGGGAAAGTTTTCCTGGATCATATCCTGAAGAGTATTTTCCAGCTTGGATTCATTCTCTGTCACATTCAGGTACACCTATCAAATGTAGATTAGGTCTCTTCACATAGTCCCCACATTTCTTGGAGACTTTGTTCATTCCTTTTTGTACTTTTTTCTCTAATCTTGCCTTCTCATTTTATTTCATTGAGTTGATCTTCAACCTCTGATATTCTTTCTTCTGCTTGGTCAGTTCAGCTGTTGAGACTTGTGCATGCTTCGCAAAGTTCTCATGTTGTATTTTTCAGCTCCATCAATTCACTCATATTTCTCTCTGCATTGTCCATTCTTTTTATCATTTCCTCAAATCTTTTTTCAAGGTTGTTAGTTTCTTTGCATTGAGTTAGAACATGTTCTTTTAGCTCACAGAAATTTCTTATTACCCATTTTCTGAATTCTGATTCTGTCATTTCATCACACTCATTCTCCATTCAGCTTTCTTCCCTTGCTGGTGAGGAGTTGTGATCCCTTGTAGGAGGAGAGGTGTTCTGGGTTCAGGTGTTTTCCTCCTTTTTGCGCTGGTTTCTTCCCATCTTTGTGGATTTATCCTCCTGTTGTCTGTGTAGTTGCTGATTTTCAGATTGGCCCTCTGAGTGGACGTCCAGATTGTTGATGATGAAGTTATTTCTGTTTCTTCGTTTTCCTTCTAACAGTCTGGCCTCTCTGCTGTAGGACTGCTGAGGTCCATTCCAGGCCCTGCTTGCCTGGGGATCACCTGAAGCAGCTGCAGAACAGTTTCTTCTTCTGCTATCTTTGTCCCAGAATGATGCCTGCCAAATGTCAGTCTGATCAGTCTTTGTGAGGTGACTGTTTGGATATACGGGGGTCAGGGAGCTGCTTGAGGAGACAGTCTGTTCTTTATAGGAGCTCAAGTGTTGAGCTGTGAGCTCCATTGTTCTTTTAGAGCTGCTAGGAAGGTACGTTTAAGTCTGTTGCAGCAGAACTCATAAATTGCCTTTTTTTCCCCAGGTGCTATGTCCCGGGGAGTTAGAGCTTTATTTATGACTGTCCATTGTGCTGCTGCCTTTTTTTTTTTTCAGGGCTGCCCTGCCCAGCAAGGAGGCAGCCTAGCCACTGTCTGCCTGCAGAGGCTTTGCTGAGCTCTGCCCTGCTGCCGTTGAGCTTCCCTGTAGTTCTGTTTATATGGGTGTGGTTAGAACTGTGTTGGCAATGGTGGCCCGCCTCTGTAATGGTGGACTCTCTCGGTTATGGCGGGTTGCCTCAGCAACAGCAAGCTGCCTCAGCAATGGCGGACTACCTCTGTAGGGGTGGAGTGTCTCGGTAATGGTGGATGCCCCTCTTCCACCAAGCTGCACCATCCTGGGTTTAGCTGTGTTTGCCATGAATCTCTCAACCCCGAGCATTTCCAGTTGCTGTTTTTTTGGTTTGTTTTTGTGGGTGTGGGATCCGCCAAGCCTGATCACCTGGCTCCCTGCCTCAGAGCCTTTTTTTTTTTTTTAAGTTGAATGGTTGACTCTCTCCTAGGTGTTCCAGTCGCCTGCTGAAAGGGCGCCGGGATCTGTGTGATTTCCCATGTGGCGACCCACTGCGCCGGCTGAAACAGCAGCACTGCCCAGGAATCTCCTGGCCAGCTTAAAAGGGCAACCAGACCAGTGTATTTTGTATGGAGAGCTGCTGCAGCACCGGCAAAACAGCTGCACTGACTAAAACAGCCGCGCCGGGCAAAACAGCCGTGCTGGTGACCCGTAGGGCTCCTCCACCTAGGAGTCTCCTGGTCTGTGGGTAATAAAGATCTGTCTGGAAATGCGGCGTCCGCTCACCCTCTGCACTTTCACTGGGAGCTGCAATCATGAGCTGCTCCTAAAAGGGCCATCTTGGATCTTCCAATAGTTTGATAACTTTTCTATGTTATGGGATTACTTGGGATGATAGTTAATCATCTCCTTTTTTTCTTCAAGTTTATAACCAACTGAAAAAAATATTAGAACAAGACAGAGATCAAAATGTTTGTTTTATAATTGAAAAAGTTGGGTTTGAGAAAGCGGCTTGGACCCGAGGTCAAGGCAAGCTTCCTGTTCCCTGACCTGTTCATGGCCAAGAAGCTCAACAGGGCTTCTCCACCCATCTCACCCTTGCCCCTCAGAGGGACAGGCTGCTTGCCATGTGACACGTGAAGGTAAGGGGGTGTCCACAGCCAGCAGGCAGGCTAGGTCTGAAAGATGAAAAATGAACAGAAATGTGTGCCATGGTCATTTACCCCAATTTTAATGAGGAAACAAATGATTTCTCCCTGTGGGGAAAGGAAGGGTATCAGAAGTGATTATGTTTACCTGTACTGATCCATTCTGAAGAGTGAAATGAATTCCTTCTGCCACAAGAAAAGGCAGGAATTGGGACAACAGGATTCCCTCCTCAAAATATAATCCTTTTTATTCTTTTTAAAAATTAAAGAAAATGTAGCTTTACTAGTGTGTCCAAGAAGGATTTCGGGTGAGGCTTCCAACTGCCATTGGGAAGAGGCTGGTGTGGGACCTTGCGCTGGTGGTGTAGCATCTTAGACTTCCCTTTTTGCTTCCTTCATAATTGATTTTTTTTCATCAAAAGTGCTCATCATTGAAATGATCATACTCGTCATTTTTTTTTAAAAAAAGCAGAAATATATAAAGTAGAAAAGTTCTTCTCAATTCTCTCTCCAATCCTACTCACCAGTGAGAAGAGTTTGATTTGTCCTCCTGGACTTTTTTCTGTGCATCTGCAAACATATACCCTCATATGTACACATTCATAAAATACCATATTTCTTCACAAACAATATCACACATTTTGCTCAGCAGGTTGTGTTTTCATTCAGCAAAATATCGCAGGCATCTTTCTATAGGTGCACATAATAGATATCCCGAATATTCAGTTGCATGTATGTCGCATGATATATTTAGTCCCTAATGATATTTAAGTTGTTCCCATTTATTTTGCTATAATTAATATGGTTGTGTAAACATACTCTTGTCAGATTGTTCAATTACTTTTGAAGGATAAGAATTCTAGTATAATTTAGTGTAATTTTTAATCAAGTTTAAATTTTGATAGGTGCTTTCAAATTGCCTCTAAAACACTGTAACAATTTACACCCACCTTCAACAGAGTAGAACGAGGACCATCTCCTAACATCTTCACCAACCTTGAGTATTGTTAATTTTTATAGGTAAATGGTATTGATTTTAATTTGCATTTAAATTATCACTAGTGAGGGCAATATCTTATTTCCCCACGTGTTTAGTCTATTTACATTTTTCTTCTTGAATTGCCTTCATAATCTTTACTCTTTTCCGATTGAACACATTTTTTAACTTCATCTCCAAAAAACGTTACTACTCAGTCTTTCCTATTGTTTGTAAACAGTGGGGACACATTTCAGTATTGAATCTAAAATATTTGTTTTACATACAACTTTTCAGAAAATTTTTGGTGTGTGTTAAATTTGTAAGATGAAGGAAAACAGCATTTTGTGGGGTTTGTTATGAATTTTTACAGCAATCACAATAGATTGCACTGAAAGAAAGTGGAAAAACAAATATCTCTCCCCCAAAACTAATGTTGGGTCTGGGCATCATTTCCAGTTCTCATTTTGTCTCTTGGAAAAGTTAATACATTGTTGCTTAAGCCTAAATTAAAAATATTGGTTCAATGGCTTCAAAACCTTTCTGATGTATTGCAGAAAAGATATTTGCAAACCTCTGGAATTAAATAGATGGATTTTCACTAAGTAAGTTTCAAAATGTTATTCTTTTCTTATAGTGCCTTTATCTCTGAAGCAGAAAAAAAGCCCAAGATGTTGAACCAAACCACTTTAGATAAGAAACGACTTACACTCTGCTGGCAAGAGCTGGTATGTGAAAATCTATTTATATTTTGTGGACAGAGTTAAAACATGTGCTTTAAAAATAAACCTCATGGGTGAGGCATAGGTCACAGACCAAATGAGGATAAGATTTAAAGGTCATACATTTGTAGGACGCAGAGACAAGAGTGAGAAGGGAATATTTGTTAAGTTGGAAAGAAATTAGCATTTATTGAAGGTTTGCAAGGATGAGCTAGAAGCCCACTGGTCCTACTTCCTATTCTGATGGAGCCCCCTCTTGCTCATTTTCTTGACCTTCATATTTTGTTAAAGGCATAGACTCGTTTGGCCCTCTGCCCCACAGGCTGAGAGAAAGAGAGGAAACAAAACAAAACAAAACTATGCTCCCTGACTTCAGGTCCCTCCCATTGAGAATTGTGTTAAAATTTGTAAGCCCTTCTTGAGAACAGGGCCATAGTTGATATCCCTCTCTATCCTGGGAACCTGCACGTGCTAGGTGCCTAATAGCTGCCCAGTTCTTGTTCAATGACTGATGACTGGAATTGCCAGACCCAGTCAGGCCCTGGGTTAACTCAATTGGAAATGTCAGTTCCAACAGTGGCACCAAGGGACATTTCATGTGAGGACAGGATAATTCTGCAAAGAAAAATTATTCAGCGCTTGACTTGTCAGGGATGTTTTAAAGTATGAGTGGGGCTCAGAGAGATTAAATGATTATTTCTGAAGATGATAGCTAGTTAACTGTAGTCCAAAGACTAAAACCCAGGTCTCCTAATGCCTCATTCATCCTTCTTTCCAGAATGCTGCTTTTCTGTCCTCTGGAACATTTCAGGAAGGCTAGATTCCCACCACCAAGAAGACCTTCTTCCTATGCTGGCTTTTCTCAGCACCTCTGGCTGAAGTGCTGTCTCTGCAGCTGCCCTCTACTCCACGTTTTCTGCAGAGCTCTGTCTTTGCATTGTCTGACAGTCCTTGGCCTGATGATTCCAGTATCTTTTTTTCATGGCCCAGGTCTCCCTCCTCATCTCTAGATCTGCATTTCCAGCCTCCTAATGGGGACCTCCATGCTTGTCTCACATCACCCCAAACTCTGTATATCCTACTGAACCCATCACCTTATCTAAGCTTGTTTCACATCCTGATATTGGCACCACCAGCTATACTTACTGCTCCACCCAGAAGGCTAAGCTTCAACATTGGCTCTTTATCTCTCACCTAAGTAGCCAGTTGAATACCAGGTCCTGTAGGTCCTGCCCCTTAATAACTCTGGGACAAACTCCACTTCTTCATCTTCAGAGTCACTTCCTAAGCTGAGTTTCTTAGCATCTCTGTTCTAGAGTATTGCAAAAGTCTTCCTCTAATCCATCTTCCATATTACAACAAGCATGGTCTTCCTAAAACACACATCTTATTAGATCATTATGCTTAAAAAAATCATTGGTGTCTCTTGGTCATTCATAAGATAAAGTCTAAATCCCTTTTGCATGATATATTGGGCTATTTACTGCCTAGTCCCAACCTAGCATCCCAGCTTTATCCCTCTTTGGTTCCTTCCCGTGTGTGTATGCTCTGTCAGTTTTGAATCCTTGATGATTCTGTATATTCAAATGTAATTTTTCCCTCTGTCCTCTTACTCTCTGATTAATTCTATTCACATTTTAAAATTCAGGTCAAATGCCATATTCTCCAGGTAACCAGCTTTGCCCCTGTCTAGTACCACAATGCTTCACACATTTTAATTATATGCATGTATTCTTTTCACCTTACCAAACTGTCAGTGCCTCAGGGAAAGGAAACATTATTTCTTCTCCCTGTCCCAGGCCTGGGCTCCAAGCATAGTGCCTGGTAGATAGCAGGTATGCAGTTCTTCCAGTCAACATTAGCAGAGGCTTCTTATGTGCCTCACACTCTGCTAGATGCCGGGAACAAAGCTGGAAGGACTTGGTGCTTGTACTTGAGGAATTTCTAGATCAAGTGGTTCATTCAGTCCATAAACATTTATTTAACACCTATGTGTCAGGAGCTCTGTTAGACACTGAGCCTACAATAAAGGCAAGACAGAGGAGGTCCTTGTCCTAATGAAGTTGACACACTAATGGTGAAGACAGAAGATAGACAGGTAAACAGCAAATTCATAAAAATTATTACAGATTGTGATTAAAAAGGAAACTCTTAAAAAGCCACAGTGATCAGGAAAACATGGGGGAATTTAATACATTGTTGACATTTAAGTGGAGAAGAAAGATGAGAAGAAACCAGCCATGTAGAGTCTGGGAAGAACATTTGAGCAAGAGGAATCACCAAGTATACCAGCTAATATGGTTTGGCTGTGTCCCCACCCAAATGTCATCTTGAATGCTCACATGTTGTGGGAAGGATCCACCAGGAGGTAATCAAATCCCGGGTGCAGGTCTTTCCCATGCTCTTCTTATGACAGTGAATAAGTCTCATGAGATCTGATGGCTTTATAAAGGGGAGTTGCCCTGCACAAGCTCTCTTTCTTTGCCTGCTGCCATCCATGTAACACATGACTTGCTCCTCCTTGCCTTCTACCATGATTCTGAGGCCTCCCCAGCCATGTAGAACTGTGGGTTCTCCATTAAACCTCTTTCCTTTATGAATTACCCAGTCTTGGGTATGTCTTTATTAGCAGCATGAGAACAGACTAATACACCAGTTTTAGGATAGACCAAGTTTATCATGTTCTAGAGCTTCCAAGGACCAGTGTGCCTGAGGCACAGTGAGCGAGGAAGGAATATTACAAGATGAAGCAGACAGTGGCAGGGCCAGCTCACACAGGGCCTTAGAAGTCACTGTAAAGATTTTTTTTTTCCTAAGCTTATACTGAGCTCCCTGGTGGCACTTCTCAAATGATGCCTTCTTGGTCTGAAAGCAGCCACCATACCTCTGGGAAGAAGTGGTCAGTGCAGTGGTTAAGCACATGGGCTCTGGATGCCACTGGGCGTCAGCTCTGGCTCTGCCATTCAGTAGCTGCATTACTGCTTCTTCAGCTGTAAAATGGGAATAATAGTACCTACTTCGTACAGCTGTTATGAGGAGTAACAAAGGATTAATCCAGTGGTTCAGATGTTGCCTGGCACAGAGTAACAGCTTAATACACCTTAAGCTGCAATTATCATTGTTGTTAAATATCAGAAAGCCTGTGTGTTAATCTGTTCTCACACTGCTAATAAAGACATACCCAAGACCGGGTAATTATAAATGAAAGAGGTTTAACTCACAATTCCACGTGGCTAGGGAGACCATGGTGGCCTCCAGTCATGGCAGAAGGCAAGGAGGAGCAAGTCACATCTTACAGGGTGGCAGGCAGGAGGAGTGCCAAGCAAAAGGGGCAAAAGCCTCTTATAAAACCATTAGATCCCATGAGAACTCACTATCATGAGAACAGCATGAGGGTAACAGCCCCCATGATTAAATTACCTCCCATGTGGGTCCCTCCCATGACACGTGGAGATTATGAGAATTACAAGTCTAGATGAGATTTGGGTGGAAGACAGACAAACCATATCAGCCTGGATTCAGGTGCTGGCTAATAAGCCATATGACCTTGATAAGCCTCTGCCTTTTCTGGGCCTCAGCTTCTCATCTGTCAAGCAGAGGTGAGATGATATTTACCACCTTCATAATCCTGTGAGGTTTCCGCTAAGGGGGCAGCATGCACAGTGGCAGACCCTGGAACAGCCCATGTGAGTAGCTCAGTGTGGAGTGCACCAGGACCTTCAGGTCTCTTCAGCAACAGGACAGTGCTTGTTGTCCAGATCTCTAGAAAGACTATACTGACTCTTGTCTTGTTTTAGGAGGCAATGTGCAAAGAGGCCAAGGGGATCATTCAGCAGCAGAAGAAAAAGTTATCTCTTGATGAAATGATTCACGAAGCCCAGAACTTTGTGGAAAAAATCCGCTTTCTTGTTGATGAGGTAATTTACTCTAAAGGCAAACCTCATTTGGAAAGTTAGACTGAATGTCTTCCAAGGAGTTTTGGATGGTTGGTATGGATGAAATAGGAATTAATGTTTTTCTCCCCAGCCCTAGTGAGCTGAGCAGGTACTCCTAGTTTAGAGAAGAGATTTTTAAATTAAACCAAGCAAGTACAGCTTTGTTTATTTACTTATTTTTTTTTAAACAAAGCCTGAGCATTCAGCAAAATGAAAGGAACATTCTCTAACAGGCTCAAGTGAAGTCAGCATAAGCACAGGACCTTCGGTAGGTTTTCAACTATAAGAGGATTTAAACTCATGCCCAGTAAGGGCACAGCAGCTTCTCATTTTAAAGTTAGTTGTAAACAGTGTCTTGTGACTTCTAGAATGACCTTTTTAAAAAGGGCCCTCAGATTTACAACTGTCAGATACTGACACTCCTTCTTGAAGCCTGCAAATGTGTAGAAACCTCCAAAACAGGGTTTTATGTGGGATGATTTCAGGGACAGAGATTTACTGCTTCTGTTCCTCTTGAAAGTTCTAATTCTTGTTGCAAATAATCAGTCATTCCCTTGAGGCATATTACTTGGTGAGACAGGCAGACAGTAGACATAGGAATTTTAATAAGAACTCAGAAGTGTTGAACAGGCAACAGGGCTTTCGGTTTGTGATGACCAACCCTTGGCGGGGAAAGCCTATCTCCTGGTGTCTCTGTTTCCGTATCAAGAGAGAAGGGATGCCCAGTTTGGGGATGGATTGCACCTGATCACTTGGGATAGGAAAGACAGAGCATCTGCTTTCAGTCCAGGAGTGTCAAAGCCTTGTTTATAGCAATACGCCCCTTTTGTGTTTTGAGAGGTTTGTTTGTTCAGAAATCTGCATTTCAAACAGCCACAACATAATGGGCCACTTGGCATGGAATTCTACTCTTCCTATCTTGATTAATTCAACTTTAAAGTCTGATTTCCTATGCAACTTAGCTGAGTTCCTGCTGAATAACCACTTAAAATGGAACTAAAATATTTTACAATCATATTTTAGGTACACAGTTCCTTGTAAAATTACTTTCCTAAGAGCAAGTGTAAGGAAAGTCATCCAGAGACATTCACCGATGTTTTTGTTGTTTCATTTGAGTATTCTGGAAATGTTATCTGGCTCTGAGGAGTGCTTAGAGCTAAATCATTACTAGAAAATTGGGGGAAAATCCATGGAAAGTTGTCCAAAAGCGTTTTTCCTGCAGATGGAGAAAAGTGGACTACCAAAGACACCAAATCACAGGTCCAACTTACGTGTTCTCGTAGCACAATGAACAATTTGGCACATGGGTTTGTATGCACTTTTAATTAATGACCTAAGGCGTTCTCTTCTCTAGAAAGCTGCATTTAATTTGCTTGATGGCATAGATGTTTCAGTGCCTAGATGACTTCAGTCATGGCATTTGTTTTGTCAGAGAGGGACTGTTTCAGGATACAGCTCTGCAAGTGCATTTGTTCAATACCAACCTTTCAAATCCCACTCCTATCCAATCCCAACTCCCCCTGTTCCCACAGCCCCAGCACACCATCCCTGATGTTTTCATCTGGATGCTCAGCAACAACAAGAGAGTGGCCTATGCCCGCATCGCCTCCAAAGACCTCCTCTATTCCCCTGTCACAGGGCAGATGGGCAAACACTGCGGCAAGATCAAAACTCACTTCCTCAAAGTAAGTGAGCAGTATTTTAACTAAAAGAAGAGAGATTTCTGTTTCTCTAGGAAGGTTCAGGCATCCTTTCTCCAATTTGTGTTTTTGCATGCTTTGCTAAAGATTGATGGTTATAAATATCTGACTTTATTTCTAGGTTCTCTATTCTGTTCCATTGGCCTATATATCTATTTTTGTACCAGCACCATGTTGTTTTGGTAACTATAGCCTTGTATAATTTGAAATCAGGTAATGTGATGGCTTAGGATTGCTTTGGCAATTTGGGCTTTTTTTTTTTTTTTTTTAAGCTCCCTGGGAATTTGAGGGTAGTTTTTTCTAATTCTGTAAAAAATGATGTTGGTATTTCGATAGGAATGGCATTGAATCTGCTGATTACTTTGGGCAGTATGCTTATTTTCACGATATTGATTCTTCCAATCCATGAGCATGGGATATATTTGTATTTGTGTCATCTATGATTTCTCAGGATGAACATGTTTGTCTATCAGTTTTCTCACTACCTTTTCACTTGTGTAATTTGTCCATGGCATTTTCTCACATGAGTTAATCTGTATTTTAAAATAGTTTCAAAGAAAATTATAAGAAGAACGGAACTGCTAGTTCAGGATTCCTTGTGACTTTAAATCATAAAATCATAAAATTTTCAACTTGGAGGTCCTGCACCCTTCATTAAGACAGAGTCCCCAGATACCTTCTGGGTGGGCCCTTACAGACATGTATCTCTGGACAGATTCTACTGTCTCTAACTCAAGATTTGAGCTTTGCTTGGAGACATGGGTATTTCACTATCACTACAAATAAATTTTTATCCCAGCAAGTAGAAATGAATGAATAAGAGGAAAATGTGTCCAAAGCCTTTACCCCACCAGTGACTGACAACAAGAGTACAAGTTGACTGATTCACTTTTCCTAACTCATAGCTGACTGTCCTCCCAAAATCAGTTCTGGTTTCTTGCTATAAAATAATTATTTCTTTACCGACTCAGGGAGGATGAAAAGGCTCAAAACCATGCCATAGAGGAACAGGTAAAGGGATGACAATTCTTAGCTGAGGAGATCTGAGCCTGAGAGAATAGTTTCAGTGTTTGTGGGGCTAGCATGTAGATGGAGGGGAGGTATGAGGGAGAGAGGGAGGGAGAGGGGGACACAGGGAGAGATTCCGCAGATAAAATCAGGCCCTACAAAGACATTACAGGGAAATAGTTTCCTAAATGGAAGTCCATAATGCATTCCTCATCTTTAGAGGTGTTAGCGCACGCTAGGCAACTATTTGATATAAACACGGCAGCAGGCAGCTAACTACATTAAATAGCCCCTAAGTGTCATCCAACCTCAAGAGGCTACTGTAGATGTGACTGTTAAATGTTGCAGACAGAAGGTCCCTATTACTGAGAATGAGAGACAGTATGGGATAATGGTTTAAAGCATGGGCTTTGAAATAATGTGAATTGGGTTGGAACTTGTGTTAGATTACTAGGGTTACTGTAAAAAAAAAAGTAGCATGAACTGACTGGCTTAAACAACAAAAATGTATCATCTCTTGGTTCTAAAGGCTAGAAGTTCCAGGTCAAGGTGTTGGCAGGTCCATTCCCTTGAAGGTGTTAGGAAGAACATGTTCCAGGCCTCTCTTCTAGCTTCTGGTTAGTTCCCTGGCTTTTACTAGAATGGCGCCAATCTGCACATGACATTATTCCTTTGTCTGTGTGTGACCCATCATATGACATTCTTTTTATGACTCCAATCTAAAGGGTTAGGGACCTACCCTAATCCAGTACAATGTCATTTAAAAAATTGTACTTTAAGTTCTGGGGTACATGTGCAGAATGTGCAGGTTTGTTACATAGGTATACACTACACATGCCATGGTGGTTTGCTGCATCCATCACCCCGTCATCTACACTAAATATTTCACCTAATGCTATTCCTCCCCTAGCCCCCAACCCCCCACAACAGGCCCCAGTGTGTGATGTTCCCCACCCCTGTGTCCATGTGTTCTCATTGTTCAATGTAATTTTAACTTAAGTAATTATATCTGCATTGACCCTATTTCCAAATTGGGTCATATTTTGGGTGTTGAGGATTACAACTTCAATATATAAATGTTGTAGGACCACAATTCAACCCATGATAGAATTCCAGGACCAATATATACTAGTTGTATGACCTTCGGCAACTTAACATTCTTCAACTTTCAAATGAATAAAGAATGGGGTTTGTTACATAGGTATACACTACACATGCCATGATGGTTTGCTGCATCCATCACCCCGTCATCTACATTAAATATTTCATCCTATTTTTTATTCATTAAATGGAGATTTTAGCGAGGAGGAAGTGAATAAATGCAAGTAAAGAACACCTAGTTGTGCCTCACATAATAATCACTCAATAAATGCTAGCATTATAACAACTAGATATCCAAAGTCCCAGGGGACATTGCTGTAATTGTGATCCCTCATATCCAGCGAGTTGTGTGAGGCTCTCTGTGTTATTTTCTGGTCATGTATATAATATAATTTCGTTTTAGAGATGGCATATTACTCTGTTGCCAAGTCTGGAGTGCAGTGGTCAAATCACAGCTCACTGCAGCCTCGAACTCCTAGGCTCAAGCAGTCCTCCCACCTCAGCTTCCTGGATAGCCAGGTCTACAGGCATCTGCCACTGCAGTTGGCTGATTTTTCTTTCTCATAGAGATGGGATCTTGCTGTATAATCCAGGCTTGTCTTAAACTCCTGGTCTCAAGTGATTCCTCTGCCTTGTTTGGCCTCCCAAAGTACTAGGATTACAGGTGTGAGCCACTGTGCTTGACCTAAAATGGCTTTTAAACCCACTCCAGTAAAACTGTAACTGATTTTTCACCACAATTATCAAGAATTTTCTTTAACTTTCTCCATTCAAAGAATTCTAAGGAGGCAAGATATATTTGTCGTAAAAATAGCAAATCACTTCATAAGGCCCTGTGCTCAAAATACTAGAAAGGTGGTATAAAGTTACTCACTTCTAAATATTTTGATGTATCCTGGCACGATATAAAATTAGAACAAAGAACAGCTGTCAAATAAAGTCAGAGTGTAGAAGAGTTGAGAATGCAGAACTTTTGCCCTGGGGCGTTCATCTGAATATTATCTTCATCTATAAGTCTTAGCTTATTTCTTTATTTGTTTTTTCCTTTTGCCATTGGAATTGCTCTGGGTGGTAGCTTTCTAGGTCTTGTTGAATCCAGTTATATGAACTTGATAAAATATCTTGATAAGATGATTCAGCAAGACCGTTTTCATTTCTGTTTTGATTTTCACTCCTGACTTGAGCTCCTCTCTCACCCACCACCTCTCTGTATGCCCCTTTGTCCTCACTAAATGGGCAAAACCGGAAAATGCGAAGGCTGCACCAGGGACACTGAGTATTCCCTCATCTGCCACTCACTCCAATTTTTAGCTGGGAAATAGGATAGGAAGGTGGAGTCGGGGGTAGAACAGAAGGTAAATCTCTAAACTCTCTAGGCTAAAGTTTCCTCAAACTTTATTCTTTGGAGCTGCTGTTCTCTGAATGGCTCTGTAAATGTTTCATGTTCAAATACTTTTAAGAAGTAGTTGTGACCTTGGCAACTCTTGCAGTTTCAGTGCCTATCAACCAGTGGAAGGTTCCAGGAAGTCCTACAGTTGGGAAAGATCTTTAACTTTTTTTAAAATTATAACTTTAAGTTTCGGGATACATATGCACAACATGCAGGTTTGTTATATAGGTAAACGTGCCATGGTGATTTGCTGCACCTCTCAACCCATCACCTAAGTATTAAGCCCCACGTGCCTCAGCCATTCGTCCTGATGCTCTCCCTCCTCTTGCCCTCCACCCACAGGCCCTGATGTGTGTTGTTCCCCTCCCTGTGCCCATGTATTCTTATTGTTCAGCTCCCACTTATGAGTAAGAACATGTGGTGTTTTGTTTTCTGTTCCTGTGTTAGCTTGCTGAGGATGATGGCTTCCAGCTTCATCCATGTCCTTGCAAAGGACATGATCTCATTCCTTTTCATGGCTGCATACTAGTCCATAGTGTATATGTACCACATTTTTATTATCCAGTCTATCATTGATGGGCATTTGGGTTGGTTCCATGTCTTTGCTATTGTGAATAGTGCTTCAGTAAACATACATGTGTATGTATCTTTATAATAGAATGATTTATATTCCTTTGGGTATATACTCAGTAGTGGGATTGCTGGGTCAAATGGTTTCTGGTTCTAGATCATTAAGGAACTGCCACACTGTCTTCCACAATGGTTGAACTAATTTACACTTCCACCAACAGTGTTCCTATTTCTCCACAGCCTTGCCAGCATCTCATTTCTTGGCTTTTTAATAATCACCATTCTGACTGGTATGAGATGTTATCTCATCGTGGTTTTGATTTGCATTTCTCTAATGATCAGTGATATTGAGCATGTTTCCTTATTTGTTGGCTGCATAAAGGTCTTCTTTTGAGAAGTGTCTGTTCATGTCCTTTGCCTACTTTTTAATGAGTCATTTGTGGGGGGTTTTTTTTGTACATTTGTTTAAGTTCCTTATAAATTCTAGATATTAGACCTCTGTCAGATGGGTAGAATGCAAACATTTTTATCCCATTCTGGAGATTGCCTGTTCACTCAGATAATAGTTTATTTTGCTTTGAAGAAGCTCTTTAGTTCAACTAGATGTCATTTGTCAATTTTTGCTTTTGTTGAAGTTTCTTTTGGCAATTCCATCATAAAATCTTTGCTCATGTCTGTGTCCTGAATGGTATTGCCTGGGGTTTTCTTCCAGGGTTTTTATGGTATGGGGTTTTACATTTAAGTCTTTAATACATCTTGAGTTAATTTTTGTATAAGGTGTGATGAACTAACTCCTTGAGTTAGTTCTGTGCTGAGTTCACTCCTCACTCTCATCACCATCCCTATCCTACCTTCTGTGTGCAACACAGAATCCATCTCCTGTTCTCCAGGTTCCAGCTTTCCATCCAGTTTTTCC